TGCTGACAAATCATGGCTGGAATCAAAGTGTTGACTCCAAACAATGTTAAATGTCCAGCTTTGGCACCTGAGCCCCAGCACCTGAGTCCTCCCCAGGGCTCCCTCAAGCTGCCTCCACCACCTCTAACTGCCAGCCCGTGTCAGACGGCAACGAGGAACCATCGCCCGCGGCTGCCTTTGCCTCACTGGTCACCACTGTCAAATTTGTAGCTTACAGGCATGTACCATCACAGCTGGCTCAGAAGCTGAACTTCTGAACTCAAGTATAACCATAGGATCTTAGGGCCTGGGGATGTAGCTGAGTGGTACAGAACTTGCCTCACACACACATGAGTTCGATTCCAGCATCAAATAAAAAAAAAGAAAAAAAAAAAAAAGAAAAAGCCTCACTTACAGGTGGGGTTGAATCAGACCAAAATGTTTCCATATTTTAAATCCATGTAAACAGATATCCAAGGATCCTATCTATTATCTTTACTCATTTCTTCCGTATTCTAGTCCCCAAACTGCTGCCAGACAAGTGCCTCCTACAGCCTAATCACTTTGAGCTAATTACAGGATTCTTAAGGTGATTCGTTTGGTTCCATTCAAAGTAGATGAAAAATAAACTAAAAATTGCTTGTTGTCATATTATGCATAAGAAAAAAGGAGATACAATATGTATATTGCCTCCAATTTGTGCAAGGATTTGAAAATACATTTGGAAGTCCTTTAGGTAACTCCAAATAAAAATAGTACATGATCACCATGAAGATGGATTTAGATAGAAGTTTACCTCCTCTCATCAGAGGCCGTCAGCTCATTTACACTCATGATTTTATTTTTTTAAATAACTTGCTTCAACTCAACTTCAGAAAACAAGACTAGAAGGTCCCATTCTCCCATCACTGCCCCGCACAAAAAAATCTAAAACAGTGCCAACAACAATCATCATCTTTACAATCCAGGAGGCTCTATAACACTGTTAGTAAGATGTAAATCAATTCTGGCTATATTTTAGTTTGCTGATAAATTCAGACATCTGCTTTATTTTAGATCTCAGAAGGGCCAACTTTATTCAATATTGTCAAATGTGTATATCTAGCAAGGTCTTCACAGTGTGAAGTGTGAAATATGACCAACAGGATCTCTGTTTCTTATGGATAACTGAAGGGTCACCATACTGGGGTGGCTGGAAGTGTAGCTTCATGCAGCAAGATGGCACCTCTGGCCTTGGATGGGACCAAGCAATTGGCTTTGGCCATTGCATTGTAAGGAAGAGTGGTGAATACTGCTTCCAGAACAAGACTTCTAATGATGTCACATTACAGTGATACATGTACAGTCATGCTTATGGAAGCACAATTCAAATAGCTAAATCTTGGAAACAATCTCCATATCTATCAACAGGTAAATGGAGAAAGTGTGGTATTTATTCACAATGGAGTACAAGCCTGCCATCAAGAAGGAAAAACTTGAGTCACTTGACCACAAATGGATACACCTTGAGACTAAATGAATAAGAAAAACACACAAACTAAAATATCATATGGTTTCTCTAAAATGAGGATCCCAAACTGTAAATAAATTAAAGAACAAAATAAAACATAGATAGTAGAAAACAGATATTTTGCAAATGGGATGGAGAAAGGGTAGAGGGAGGATAGGAAGGGGTATGAAAAAAAGTTGCAATGTGTTATGTACATGTACCAACTCCCCACTAGAAATGCAAACATTATTTACTGCAAATGTACTAATATTAAAAACTAAAAAGAAAAAGTTGGGTAAGATCCATAAGAACATTCACTCTTCTGCCAAGGTCATGGACAAGTTTCTGGATGGTGGCTCTTCTGCCAGCCAGAAGGAGATGATGGCCACAGAGCAGCATAACACCAATCTAATCCACAGTGCATCCACAGTGCATATACACTGCAATAAGAAATAAGCCCGAGGGGCTGGGGATTTAGCTCAGCAGCATAAGCACCTGCCGTGTAAGCAGGTGGTCATGAGTTCGATCCCCGATACTGATAAAAAAAAAAAAGGTTAAAACAAAAAAAGAGGGGCTGGGGATTTAGCTCAGCGGCATAAGCATCTGCCTTGCAAGCAGGCGGTCGTGAATTCGATCCCCAGTACCGATAAAAACAAAACAAAAACAAAAAAAGAAATAAGCCCGATAGTATGAGCCCAGAGATCGGACCACTGTTTATGACCACAGCAAAAACTAGCCCCTTCCTGCATTATCCCCCAGGCCCATGGTACCAAGAAAAATGATTTGGTGTCTCTAGAGATAAATTAGCAGATTTCTGTAATTTAGTATCTGAAGTCAAATGTTATTATCTTGCCAAGGAAAGGTCCTTCAGCCCATAGTTCACTTGGTCCCAATCATCATGTTCCAAAATCTGAATTAAATAGACCCAAGCAAATTTGAAAAGGGAAAGTTACAGTTGTAACCTTCTGAACTGCCAGTTCTAATTTATTGGTGAGCCGAGGTTCTTAGCCATAAACAACAGAAACCATCCCAGCTAGTTAAGCAGAAAGGGAATTGATTCAAGATTTATTAGCTTACAGAATCTCAAGGGCAAAACACCACTTGCAGACACGACAGCGGGGAACACACTGCCACATCACTGGGTACAGACGCCGCACACAGCTCGGGCCCTGGCCACCAAGCCTCTCCATACCCTTCGCACTATTTCTTCCTATCTGAAAAGTACAACCCCAACTCTCATGCAGGCATCGCTCAATGAAGGTACTTTAATGAAAGGAAAAGTGGACAAAATACTTTTTATTGTTTTTTTTTTTCCCCCTTAGACAGGTAGAGAACTCCTCAGACACAGAAAAGACACTCAAACGTGTGTCCGAAATAAAGCTTCTAGTCCTTGCCCAGCAAGCACAAGGTCCTGGGTTTGATCCCTTCTGTCAAGAATATAATTTACATATATATGTATCACTAAGTGGGTCAAAGTTCATAGGTCAAATTTACCTACTAAGCCATTGACTAGCAAATCAGCTTGATATTAAATTACACATTGCCGTCGATTGTAAGGCTCCTAAAATATAATTTCTTTCAGTCATGTGAGTAGGACAAAAACGCTTCTTAGATAGCAAATTTTCCCCATTCTCTTTTAGCAGAAGACTCCACAGCACTTTAATAGAACCAACAAGAGATATCTAGAAGACCCAAGAGCTGTTTTTAAAAGCAGCATCAACGCTGGCAGATTACTGCTTATGTATGTCTCTAGGTAATGAAGTGCCTCCTATTACTTTCTATGAGTCACAGAACAAAGAGCCCAGCTTTTACCTCCTTGTAAACACAAAGACAACTTAGGACCCCAAAGGCACCCTTCCATGATAAGGACACTGAAATGCCCATCACCCTTGGTCATCTCTGGTTTAACAAGGAGGCCTTCATTCCCCTCCTAGGCCTACTCATAAAACCTGGCAAGTTATTTCTTTCCTTAGAGAAATGAACTGGACACATTCTACACAAAACCAAAGTCCCCACCATGAGTTGTTGAGAAACAACAGACTCCATCAGCAGTTCCTCTGAGGGACTAACAGGGCTGGGAAGAGTACAGGGCCCTATTGCACACTGAAGGCATGTCAAAGTTGTGAAAAAACCTGCATTTCTGTATGAAACTAAGCACCTGCTATTTCACACCCACGTATTGCTGGTGCTCTTTCAATTGCCCTCAGTGACTTTGTTTAGAAGGAAAATGCTTTGCCTCCTGAGGACAGCATGAGAGGACTGAGTCACTCCCTGAAGGATGGAAGGGAAGGTACATACACGAACCCCCAAGGGGCTGCAGACTGCTGCTGGGCCGTATTTCACAGAAAATTCAAACCTATCTGCAAAAATTGCACGAAAAAACAAGGACTCGAGGCAGTTGAATATCATGGTTCTATGCAACTTTTCCTCCTCCTGAATTCATGCTGACAAGCACAGACTTAGAAAACTACAAGCCGGATGACAAGAAGTGAGAAAGACCAAATTTCGCCATATGGTATTTTAAAAGAAGAGGAAACAGCCCCCCACCCCACCACTGTTCCAAAGGATCTGTGACTAACAAGCCAAGCCAGCACGTCGTCGCAGGGCTCTGTGGCTCAGTGATTCAGAAGTCACTTTCCTAGCCAGCACATTAAATGTCAAGTAACACATCTCCGATATGAGAGAAGCCAGGCCTTGAGGAAGTGTTTCTCCTCTACAAATAAGCCTTATATTTTTAAAGCTGCTGTCTTTTAGGTGGATTGCCAACCTATAAAAGAAACAGCATGCATCCAAGAGCTGCACAAAAAAGCATCAATCATGGAGACCATGTCTAGTCCTCTACAAATTCCCTCCCAAAAAAGAACTTTGCCCGTGGGAATCACAGTATCTGTTTAAGAGGGAAGAATAAACAAACGGAGCACATAAGAGAGAAAATAGCAAAAGATCCAGTGATATTTTAATGCCACATGTAGCCTGCAAAATCTGAAGGTGAAGAACTCGGACAGATTTCTTCCAGAGTCAGCAACCTACAAAAATGGAGAGGTTCTAGGGTGATCGTAACAAAAAAAGGGGGGCAATATTGATCTGCCATCTATCATTTGTCCTCATGTCACAGTGCTCTAAGATTAGAATTCCTGGCTGCAGGAGGACTTTGTAATTAGACCTAGTTCCTATGTGGCTTAGTGAAAGCAGCAGATGAAGGAAGAGGTAAAGAATTATAGAAGAACTCCACTCCCCCCCTTTTTTTTAAATAACAGATTTTCTTTAAGAGCAGCATGAGCTATGATTAAAGTGGCAATATAATTGTAGAATTCTTGTGCCTTAACACCTTTAAAAATGTACAGTGATAAGAAACATTCAGCACTCCAATTATTTCACGCAGTTTTCATCCACCCTAAAGTCATCCTCAAAATAGAATGGAATTTGCTCTACTTTACGTATCTGGTAGGTGTTAGGGGCAAAGTAACCAAGAACCCCCTAACACTGCTGGTCAGTATTCTAAACAAACAACATCAAATGAGATTCAAGAAGCTCAACAAGTAACTTGTGAATTTTATTTCAATTCTTAATGGTACAGTCCACTTATAGTGTGCCCTATTTTGAGGTGAGGCTCAAAAGAAACAAGATTTGTCCCCAGAGAGGTATCAGATCTTGAGCTTTGTTCCCAGAAGAAGAAAGACAAATTAGATAGCTGGTTTTTCCAGTTTGGAGGAATATTTTAATGCAACTGTGAAGTAAGGGGGAATGAAACAAATTCAAGATACTGCTGTCTAGGAACTTGGGGGAGGTTAGATGTATGAAGCGTGATCAATAAATATGGTGAATGCTGAAAATGCTTTTGAATGTATTACAGTAAAAGACACATTGCCTTCAAGCCCTCTCACTTGGCTCATACTTAGGCCGTCACTCTTGCCATTTTCTAGAGCAGTTCTGGAAGTCCTTTCCTGGGAGTGTATTTAGTCGCACTGTTGAGGCTGCGACCCGATGTCCTGAATCCATTCACGGTGCTTATGTTTCATGGTCTTTGCCTTTGGGGAAGCGGTACAGGTTGCCCAGGGCCATGTCCAGTGGATAAGGTGGATGCAGAGAGAAGCGTGATCAATAAATATGGTGAATGCTGAAAATGCTTTTGAATGTATTACAGTAAAAGACACATTGCCTTCAAGCCCTCTCACTTGGCTCATACTTAGGCCGTCACTCTTGCCATTTTCTAGAGCAGTTCTGGAAGTCCTTTCCTGGGAGTGTATTTAGTCGCACTGTTGAGGCTGCGACCCGATGTCCTGAATCCATTCACGGTGCTTATGTTTCATGGTCTTTGCCTTTGGGGAAGCGGTACAGGTTGCCCAGGGCCATGTCCAGTGGATAAGGTGGATGCAGAGACACTGTAACATTTTCATCAGTCTGCTTTTCTGCTGAATGGCACTAGTAACCGAACTATATATATATATATATATATATATATATTTTTTTTTTTTTTTTTTAATCAAAACTTGTAAGAACCCTCAGGAAAGATTTCCAGCATTGCTTCAGAAAGTGACAAAACTGACTCCTGCCAGGCCTGATGGTGAACACTTGCCATCTCGGCACTGGAGGGGTTGGGACACGAGATCTGCCGAGTTTGTAGCCAGCCTGGGCTATGTAGTGAGTACAAGGCCAGTCGGGTCCATATAGTAAGAGCTTGTCTCAAAATAACAAATGAGAATTAAAAAAAAAAAAAAAGAAAGAAAGAAAGAAAAGAAAAGAGGACAAGAATGATGGGATGTGTTTAAAGCAAGAGTAAGTATCCTGAGGGAACTCATGTCAATGTGTCTTTTATTGTCATAAAATTTTTTATTCAAACATTCACTATACATTTTGATCATATCTCATACTTTATATCCTGAAAAAATAAACAATGAAATCAAGGTAATTTTTTTCCTTAGGAAGCTAAGAAATTAATATTTTTATAACAATAAATTCATTTACTTCTTATTTTTTTTTCCAGAAAAAGCCATTTGAGGTTACCTCTGGTAGACTAAAGTAGAAAGATTATTATTATTTTGTTAACTCTTTGGAGTAAGCATCATGGGAAATACAATCCTTCCTATGGAGAATGACTGGGGACAAAAACATTTGATCTGAAATGGATGATCAGGTTTCAATAAGTGCAAAGGAACTTACCGTGTTCCTAGTCATCCCAAACTGGGGAGAGACCAGCCTGGAGGGTGGACTGACGAAGTACGGTTCGGAAGGTTTCCAGGCACTGAACCTTGTTCAAGGATGGGCAGCACAGAGGGGATATAGCAAGAGGACGCAGGTCTTGCCAGTAAAGGCATCAGCGTAAGTCAAAGGAATGGAAATAGATTATAACCAGTTACATTTGGATAAAGGCTGAGGTTAAAGAGCTGGAACAGATTAGTGAAAACTAAAGGTGACATTATTGAGTGCTTGCAACCTGCCATGAACGATGCTCAATATTTCCTCTTTATTTTCCTCCTAATTTATTTTTTAAACTGAGGCCCAGTGCTCAGACTTGGGTCCCTTGTCCTCACTCCCTAGTTGACTTTTATACAGTCTCATGGTTTGGGTGCCACACTGATGATTTCCAGATCCCTACGTTAGCTGTCCAATGGATGATTTCACATTTTCATCCAAATGTCAAAATCTCAAACTCTCACCTGACTGAAACATATCTGACCATCCACCAACAGCAAAACAAACAGAAACCCAGTGCGCCTCCCTGTGTCTTGCAGATACACCCGTGTCTCTCCACTTCTTTGCACGTCCACACCTGCCTCCCTCCCATCCCCATCCGCAGCCTGGAGGGTGCAGCAGCCTCCTAAAGGGGTGGATGTGATCTTGGCCTCCAGGGGCCCTGACCCCATGCATTTCAAACCCTGCCATTTATAACACAGGGTCCAGCTATTGATTCTGTTGTCTCAAGTGGAGATAAGGATTCAAGAATAAGTCTCTTCCAGATGGCAGTAGAAATAATAGACAAGCTGACAGTGAATCTGCAAAGGAGAGTACAGAACGCGATGAGGATGTTCAAGGACAGGACATTTGAGGAAACCCACAGAACCACAAAAGATGCCAGACGCTTGAAAGATGTCAAGTCCTTGCTCAAGTGTCTCCTCCTCAGCCCACCTTCACTCTTCTACTAGTAATGCAAAGCCCAGATTAAAACTACAGGCCTGGTCGCACCACAGGGTGCTTCTGCCCAGTGCCTCTCACGCTGGACTTCGAACTCATCCTGTGCTCTCCACAAACGGCTCACCTAAATGGATCCGGGGCCGGCAAGCTCCTGATGAGAGAGTGTTTTATGCACAACGCAATAGAGTACTGTGGAGAGTGCTGAGGCGCAGAAGTGGCTGCTTTCTTTTAGAAGAGCTAATTAAGACTTAGCATGTGGTTTTGGTGACCAAGAAGAAAAGAACGGAGTTTACCCAGGAAGGTAATATAGATGGCGCGCAAGACCTGGAGAGGAAGTAGAGGAACCAAAGGAATGGAAGAAAGGCGGAGGGTACCGAGACTAAGGAGGAACCGAGCAGCTGGGCCAGGAGAAGGCGCGGGCTGCTGCGCGGGCTGCTGCGCGGGCAGGGCGGGGTGGGGTTGGTAGATGCCTCAAAGCAAAGAGAGTCACCAAAGGGCAGCGGCAGAGCTGCTTCTAAGAAGGTGGTGGGGGTGGGGTGGGGAGCAGGGGTGAGGGGTATACAGTGGAGGCGCGGAGGCCAGGACGGGCAAGCTCCTCTCCAACTCCAAAGAACCATGTAAATGATGAGTTTCAAAATATGGAGAGCAAGAGGCCAGAGATTTAACAAGCGGAGATTAAACCGCTCAAAGAGATGCGAAGCCAAAAATTAATGAGGCAGGGAGAGCAACACTATCCAGTGTTGCAAGACAAAACCCACGTTTTTATTTGTCCTGAGGGATTCGATTAATATCCTATTAAGGGATGCCGGGGACCTGACTTCGCGCCCTGTGCCAGCCACCTTGGCAAGCCTGGGGTGGGACTTTGGGAAATCCTGCAGGCAGGAGGCTTCCATCACCACGGTCAGGGCTGTGGCCTCGCCATTGGCCATGAGCACCCTACCCAGTTTCATGTAGCCTCCACGGGGGTAGCTGGGACACGCACAGCACACGATGGCACCCATGACCCGTTTCCTGTCACGCAAAGCCTCCCCGCTCTGAAATGCGCAGGATTGGGATTCCCAGAGCCTGGGTCGGGCCTGCCACACAGTGGGCGCTCAGTCAATCCGGGCTGACTGTGCAACGAGCTGTGCTCAGCCCGCTCGGTTCCCTGCAGGGCGTGACCAGCGAGGCCGCCCCGGGGAGGACCGCGGGCTCGGGAAGCGGCCCGAGGGTGCTTCAGCCACTGACCTTCGGCGCGGCGCAGCAGCTCGGCGCCGGCGTCCTGCGCCCGCGGCGCACGTAGGTCACCCGCCTTCTGCTGCCGCCTGGCGGAGGGCGGGGCGCGGGCGCGGGCGGCAGGTGCGGCGCGGGAGGCCGGGGGGCCGGGCCGGCGGGGGCGCCGCGGGCCGGGGTGGCCGTCCCCGCGCGCCGCAGCTCCACGCAGAGCCGCAGGCCCAGCAGCAGCGCGGCGCCGAGCAGACAGCGGGGCAGCGCGCCGCAGCCGCGCCCGGGCGGCCTCTCCCTGGCCATGGGACGCGCGGGGTCCCGCTGCGCCGGGCCTCTGTGGACTCCGGCTGCCAGCCGGCCGCGCCCCGGACCCGCCCCCGCCCCGCCGCCCGGTCCCGGCGTCACCTCAGCCCGCCCCGCCGAGCGCGCCCCGCCGCGGGAAGGGGCGAGGGGCGCGCGGGGCGCGGGGCCGGGGTCCCTCGGTGGCGCCCCCTGCCTGGCCTCCTGCGCCCGGCGCAGGGCACAGAGGAAAGGCCGGGGAAAGCGCCTCGCTGCGGGCCTGAGATGTAACTTAGAACTGCTGAGGCCACGCGGGACGGGGCTAACTGAGCCGCCGGCTTTGCAACAAGGAACCAGTTCGAATCGTGGAGCTGTTTAGGCCACGAAGCACGATGTAAAAATAAATGATGCAAAAAAAAAATGATGCTTATGCTCAGGTTTACAACTGCTCTTCCTCGAGAAGGGGCTGGGGGTGGGGTTCAGGGAGAGAAAGAAGGGCACTCCATGCAGAATAATCAAATTAGAATGATTCCACTTCTAAATTCTGCCTGAAGCCAATCGCGCTTTCTCGCCGTGTTATGAAATGCGGGAGGTGGGGGAGAAGGAGAGAGAAAAGCCGGCGGAGACATCTGACAGCAGGGAGAGAGAACAGAAGTTACCATGGCAGGATGTAAATCAAATTAATTTAGCTGCAAACGCACACCTCCCTGCTGTCTCGCAGAGATACAGAGGGACGAATTTATCTCTGGGCGAAATGCTCCCCAGCTGGTATTTTCATCCTCACCTTGACCTTAATTAATCACACTGAATGCTCACAGCCCAAAGTGCAGCGTCCGTTCCCTTTTCAGCTGTGGGTACAATTATTTCAACTGTGGGTTTGCGTTTCAGGCTTGGGTCCCTGGATTTGGGTTATTTTTGTTCTTTAAAGCTATAGCCAGGTGCCTTCTGTTTGCGTTTTTCATGCTTCTCTGTGAAGCAGACCCTGCTGACCTCTCCTCTTTTCCCTTAGCCTAGATATTGGAGCCCCGCCCCACTGCCTGTTTGGATTTTGAGGCTTTTTCATGGGAGCTGGCCTCTCTGAAATCCTCCTCCTCTCCTTGCTTAAGAAAGATCCAATTTATTCTTTGTCACTGAACAAAGCACTTAGACTCTTTCTCTATCCCTAACAAAACTTCTCACCCCATCTAGTCTGTTCCCTGGCCACATCAGGGCTTCAGGATCCAACATTTCATTATGATTGATTTTTATTTTTTACACACACCCTCCCCACTCTCACTCCTAACCCCAAGAAATTGCAGATGGTATCCGTTTTGAAGAATCCAGAAAAGGATATTTTTCTTCTTCAACTGTAAGCGGCAGTCTCACATCCTGTGATAACTTACCTGCCCCGAGTCTGACTCAGCACTGGGCCATTCAGCCATGACAATTTAAATAGACAAGTGCTCAACTCTTCTGAGCTTCAGTTTTCCTGAGGGGAAATACATGCACGATGGGTTACAAATATTGTATAACTATTATGTATTAGTACCTCAATAATAGCTGGCCCACAAAAGATATTCAATTGATAGTAATTTTTAAAAATTATCTATTGTTAAAGAAAATTCCAGATACTGTTGTAAAAAGAGTTTTTTGAGGAGGGAAAACATCACCAAGTAAATAGGGATTTATAAATACGTTACACAGTATTCTCTAACTTAGGAGTACCCAACAATTTCAAGAAAATAACCATTAAGACTCAAAACTCCATAAATGCATTCTATTGTTTAATCATGTAAAACAACTTAAGACAGCTTGTGCAGTGCTTGATAAACCCGAGTCAGTAACTTCTGATGTAGATTTTGCTAGAAGTTTTATTTTCCATGCAGTCAACAGTGTCACTAAGTAAAGTAATCCTTCCAAGATTGTAGTAGTGCTAATGTACACGCTCTGCTCCTCTGTTGACTTTCATTCTGTAGAGGAAACATGAAGAATATCTTGTCTGATTAAAATAGGAGCATTGACAAGACTCTGTCCTGGGGGTTGGAGGCCAGGGTGGTAGTCAGGCATGCATACAGAACAGTGTGGTTCTCAAGAGAATGGGCAAGATGACTTCAGATTTTCCCTTATCTCATTTCCATAGTTTCCCCAGATTTTTCCATTAGGGAAAAAAGTTCCAAATTAAACACAATATTTAAATGCCCTTTCCTGTATCTTTTGCAACTATGTCTGTGTGTTTATTACTGATCAAAAAGACCTACTTATATATATGTAGCATCATTCATTTTCTAAGAAGAAATCTCCCATTTTTAACTTCCACACAATATATCCCTGTGTCTGGGTGATGAATAGTGAAATGGATCTGTTGGTAAGCTGAAGAGGCAAATCTAACCAATCACTGTCATAGCTGACAAGCAATCTTTCATTCATGACCTTTGCTTTTCTCATAGAGTTGAACTTATGTTGGCTATTTCTGGATATGTCTAAAAAATGCAGGTAATTGTTAACCACTGTGTCATAGGTTGGTTAATTTAAACATGCAGGTCAGTAAACCACAAAAGCAGTTTTCATCAGATCACAAATTGCATCCTCCTGGAGATTTCAGCCAGCAAAGTGAATGAAATATGACATTGTCCTGTTACCCTTTTAGACATCATGCGTCTGAGCTTGCATACTATGGGTGTCTGCCTCTCAGAATTTCTGGCAATGTCTGAGGACATTTTTGGTTGTTGCAGCAATGACAAAAGATGTTACTGGCAATAACAAAAGATGTTATTTTGTTGGTAGAAAAAAAAGGGGATTCTAGTTACACATCTTCCCATGCAAAGGATAGGCTTCCACAATAAACAGTGATCCAACACAGACTGAGAAGCCATGCTGCAATGGTAGATACTGATATGGCCATTTTTCATGATGGAATGCCCAAGGAGAAGACAGAGGTTGACAGAAAGGATCCTCACCTCTGTTAAGGGGTTATTTCTGTCTACCATGTAAAATGACCCAGCGTAAGGAAGCACATTTACAAGAGGAGTATCATCTTCTCCCACCTACCACTGTCTTTTCTCCATGTAATGCATATTTACTGTGGGAAATACACACAAGCAAAGGGAGAGATCCATAGTCATTCATAATACCATGATTCAGAGATAGCTATCCTGGCAGACTTTCCCTTATGGGTGTATTGTTTACCACAGTGAAATCATATTATACGTATTTCTTTCTAATCTGCTTTTGTAAAAACATATGGTATATAGTTGACATATTAATAAATGTGATGTCTGAGATGTGCTTTAAAATAATCCTGAAGGACAGCCTGGGGATACAGCTCAGTAGTACAGTGCTGCCTAGCACACTTGAGACTGGATTCAATCCTCAGCACTGGAAATCATTCTATGGAGAGGTGGGAGAAAAGTAGGGGTATAAATGGAACGAGAATGGCTATGAGTTGATCATTGTTGTAGCTGGGTGATGAATTCACAGCTCTCTATTATTAAACATATTTGGAATTACCCATAATAAAAGCGTTAAACAATAACCTATTAACTGCATCATTTTATTGTTTATATTAAGAGTTTACAACATGATGTTATGGGATATAGGTAGTCCAATAGTTACTGTAGTGAAGCATATTAATATGTCTATCTTCTCACATAGTTCCTACTTGGCATGAGAAAAGACTAATCAAAATTAAAATAGCCCCTCCCCCCATCCACAGGGAATATATTCTATCACACCTACTGGATGCTTAAAACCGTGGATAATACCAAATCCTATATGTGATCACTGAGGCACTATGATAGGGACTGAGATAGCTGCTGAGTGGCTAATGGGCAGGCAACATATACCATGTGGATACACTGTACAAAGAGATAATTCCCATTCCAAGTAAAATGCACAAGATTTTATTGTACTACCAAAACAGCATGGAATTTAAAGCTTAAGAACTGTTTATTTCTTGAATTTACCATTTAATATTTTTGGGTTGAAGCTGATTTCAGGTAACTGAAACTGCAGAAATCAAAACCCAGGTAAGGAAGGAGTACCATACTTATTTAATAAAAATATCTAATGCAATGTAATTTTATTAAATTACTCCTTGCTGTAGACATTAGATCATCCCACATGCTTGTTATTTTGTATCTTTTGACTGATATCTCCCCATCCCCTTTCTTTCTCTTTCTCCACCAGAAATAACCACTATTTTATTATGTATCACTGTGCATTTGAGATCTTTTATAAGTGAGATCATGTTATATTTTTCTATTTGTATCTGTTGTTTCACTTAGTGTAATGTCTTCCAGGTTCCTCTGTCTTATGGGAAATGGCAGGATCTCCCCCTTTTAAAGGCTGGTAACATTTCACTTTATAAATATGCCATATTTTCTTTATCCATTGATTTACTGACTGACATATCCATTTGCTGGCTATTGTGAAAAATATTGCGATGAACTTACTTGAGTGTATGTCCAGGATAAAAATTGCAGGTTACATGGCAGTTTTATTTTAATTTCTTTAGAAGCCTCCAGCCTATTTCAGAATGAATGTATCAATCTACATTCCAACTAATGATGTACTTGGGTTCCCACACTCTTGTGCCCTAACAGTTGTTATCAGTACTTGTTATCTTTTGTCTTTTTGATAATAGCCATCTCTGTAAGAGGTAATATTTCACAGTGGTTTTCATTTTCTTTTCCCTGATAATTAGTGATTACAACTTTTTGGGGGGGCAGTACTAGAGATTGAACCCAAGGTCTTTGTACTGAGGTGTATCTCCAGCAGTATTTATTTATTTATATATTTATTTAAATTTTAAGACAGGATCTCACTAAGTTCACCAGGCAAGTTTTGAATTTGTAATTCTACTGCCTCAGCCTCACGAATGCTGGGATTACAGGCATGTGCCATCAAGCCAGGTTCACAACAGCATTTTTAATAGTTCCCTGTGCCATAACGTAACCATTCTTCCATGGCTAACAATTAGATCATTTTCAAGCTTTCATTTTTATAACATGGACTTCTTTGAAGCTAATCTGATGGATGAACATAAATCATGAAAGAAAGAAGTCAAGAATGAGACCAAGGGGCTGGGGATTTA